CAAGCTGGAGATGGTTATTTGGATTAAAATGCAAAAAGAAGAAAAAAAATTTTTTGTATTTTTTTTTCCCCTTCCAAATCTATTTCATTTTACTCAGGCACTTGAAAATTCAGTGAGTGCAAATACACAACAGATCTGCCAGTCTTCAGAGAGAAACCTTTTCCCTGGATCCTAAGGCAGCTGCCAAGAGAATCCTCCATTTTACAGAGTCACTCATTTCAGGATAAGAAGGTATTAGAATGAGAAGGTACTCATTCCAGGATGTCTCTGAGTGATGGGTCTCTCCTCCTGCAGTTAAAATGTTTGCTTGACAAGCCACATTTTGGAATATATTTACTGAAAAAATTAGATATCTACTGATAACAAGAGGAGCCCTGGTGGCGCAATGGTTAAGCGCTCAGTTGATGGTTCAAACCCACCCAGTGGCTCTGCTGCAGAAAGACCTGGCAATCTGCTTCCGTAAAGATTACAGCCTAGAAAACCCTATGGGGCAGGTGTACTTTGTCACACGTGGTCACAATGAGTCAGAGTCGACTCCATAGCAACCATCACAACAACAACACTGATAACAAAGAAGAGGGGGAGCTGAGATATTTACCTCGCTGCAAGTAACGAACACACTTTTCCTAACTGAAAGCACTCTGCCATCTGAGCAGCCCCCAAGTTTGTAAGTGTGTTTTTCTTTTCTTGAAAGTCTCCATGATGAACAATGAAATTGGCTTAGAATCTGACATTCTATAGTTAAATAAAATATAAAACAAAACCTTTCTATCTACATAAAAACTAAAACTGGTTGCTGTCAAGGTGATTTCAACTTATGGTGACTCCATGTGTGTCAGGGTAGAACTGTGCTCCAGAGGGTTTTTCAGTGGCTGAGTTTTGGCAGTTGTTTTCTAGGCCTTTCTTCTGAGGCACCTCCGGGTAGAGTCAAACCTCCAGCCTCTGGGTTAGCAGCAGAGTGCATTAACCATCTGCATCATCCAGGGACTCCTCTATCCACACAGAGTGATGGTCATAATAAGAACAAACACGGATAATAAGATCAAATACTCGTATAACTTATCCACACTATTAATAACCCCCATTTTACAAATGGGAAAACTGAGGCACAGAGAAGTTAGTAACTTGACAAGGTCACTGAACCAGGATTCAAACCTCGGCAGACTGGCTCCCAACTCCACGTACCTAACCTACAGAAAAATATAGAACCCCAATAGAATGAGCCTTATTTCTGAAGGCATTTAGCTATGTCATTAACTATATCAAAGCTCTAGAAATACATAAAATTAGCTTATAAAAATTCTATCATCTGATAGTACCGTCATGCATCACTTAACGTCCACCATACGTTCTGTGAAACAGGAGGGTGTGTGATTTGGACGTTGTGTGAACACCATTATTATATACTTAGCAAAGCTATATGGGATACCTTTCGTTTCACTTCCAAATCGATACTTCTCCTTTGCGTCTTGCTGCTGCTGTCACTAGCATTAGTTTTGCTGCGTTTGGGATCCATAATGCACGTCACGGTAATATTTTCACAAGAAAATTAAACAGAGAGATAAAGCTACAACACTCAAGAGACTCACCACACATGAGACGCTGCTGCCTATGAGTTGAAGCATACACTGTTCTCTGGTAAGCTTTTTATTTGTTAAGTAGGGAAAGTTCACGTTAAAATAATGATAGAAAGTACAGTACAGTACATACATAAGCCAGTAACATAAGCGTTTATTATGACTATCCAGACATTATGTGTTATAGGTTATATACCTACTGTACTGTTATACGCCTGGCAGCGCAATCACTCTGTATACAAGAGACATGAGATACATGTGATGCATGTGGGAAGCTGTTGTGTTTGCTAGGTCTGGTTACGTCCGCTATGTCCCGTTCTCCAATGGGGATTTCTGAACCCTATTATAATCTTATGGGACCACGGACGTATATTTGATCAGACGTTGCCCAAGCGGACGTTATGTGGTGCATGACTGTAATGTTATTCACTATATTTTTACGTAAACACCTCCCATTAAAGGGGACACCTCACTTAAGTTCACTTATTTGTCAGCTACATCCCACTGAAAAGCATCAAAATTCTAGATTAAAAAGAAGAACAATCTGCTCTTTTTAATTTTAAAGATTGATCATAAAGAGTACAAACCACAGGCAGAGCTGTATCTTGAAATGAAATGTATTCTTAGTGAATCATTTATTATTAGGACCATAATGCGACTCTATTCCCTGATCTTTGGAGCTTACTTAGCTCTCCCTGGTATAGTCCACTCTTGGGACACATGTGCATTCTCTATAGGCTAGCAACACACTTCATCACAGGCAAATACTCCAGTATCATTAAGAAAAAAAAAAACAGAAAATATGTCTTGAGAAATTTATTGCCTTGATTTATTAGAAATCTGGAAAGTAAGGCCATGGTAAGCTTGTTTTAGAATTTCAGTACTTAAAGTTCTTTAGATGTACTTTACTAGTGCAACTGGGCTTTTAGTGTGTGTGTGTGCATGCACGCAGACTGATATGTGCTTCAATATCAAGTTTCAAGTATTCAAAGTCCTTTTAATTTAGTTAGTCCATTTCCTATATGTCGCATAACTTTAAAAAATTAAGAGAGTGAACAAAAGAGCATGAACAAGGATATTTGCTCCAGTGTTATGTGTACTAGCAACACGCTGGTAACAACCAAAACAGCCATCACATAGGAACTAGTTAAGCGAATTAATTATAGGATATCAGTATGTTGGTCTATTGGGCAATTATTTAAAAAAAATGAAGCAGTTCTCTATGTATGGACACAGAACTGAAAAAAACAAGGTGCAGTACAGTGGGTATAAAACACTAGCATGTGTGTGAAGAAACACACACACACGTACATGCACACACACATACACACACACACATACATGCACACACACATACACACACATACACACACGAAACTGGAAACTGAGGAAACAGAGATAGGAGGAAGGCTTATTTTCCGAACAATACTTTGAAACGCTTGAATTTTTTTAAGCGGGCCCAAGAATGATCTTTTCCAATTATACTTGATTTTAAAGTTAAACTTAATGCCTTAATAATTAGCCTTTAGAATTTTTACTGAAAGTTAAATGGTTTAAAGAAACCTGCACACTAGTCTAACACCACTAACGTGGGGTTGTTCGTTTTCCTACAGTGGCATATGCTTTCTCCATGAGCTTTTTTATATTTGGGATAAAAGACTCAAGGGAAGCGCTGGTTTAGCTGGTAAAAGCATTGGTGCCATTTTCTTTGATCTGCCCGTTAGATACGAAACACAAGAAAGGCTATTTCAAACCATTGGCTTTTTGGATGTATTTTACGTCTGCAAGCTTTAAAACATTAAGTCCAGACTTCCTAGAAGAACGGACAATATATTCACTTGAAGCTGACTCGGGTCTACTTGAGTTCGTATTCACTCTGGCTAAGCCACAGTCTGAGGGAAAGGTGTCCAGAAATAATGCTTCCATTTTTATCCCGTTCATTCCTGAAAATCCAACAGGAGATTCTTTTCACTCCTTAAAATTAACTGTTGCATGTATAAAGCAGTATCTCGGTATCTGATCTTAAGTGCAAATATTATCTGAAAACGGCAACATCTTTTATAAAACTTTAATACTGGCCTCTTTCATTTTTCGACCTTAGAGGAGGAAAATCATAATTTTAATCGTTTTTGAAGTAAAGGCAATCAGCAGAAAGTACTCTCTTCTGAAATTTAAAATCACACTTAAGCACTATGGTGTCACAAGTGTTAGTGTCACCCAGTATGGTAATTCATGGTGTCACCCCACCCATGGACTTCCGCCCATACCAGACCATACAGAATCCTTAGTAATATTTTTTGTACTAATGTTACTTATAAATCACAATTCCCGCATATCACTCCTTCTATTCCTTTAATTACTACTTTGTTCCAAAAAAATTATTGATATAGGTTCACAAATACTAATTACCACAATATTGTAGCTAAAACACCAGAAAATTTGACAAACTCAGTGACTATAAAAATAGTGGTGGCAAAGAAAGCAACAGCGGGTGCTTGCAGTACATGCTGCCGGAACCACGTGATTCGAAGCATCTCTGTAATTGGGTAATAATGACAGCTCTGGCTGGAGCACAATAGAAGGTTCAAAAAATAAATTAACATAGAGTTTTAGCCTTGTAGGTATATTGATATGCATAAGCTGGGCTTACGAAAAATGTTTTTGTTGTTATAACCAACTACAGGGATATTTTTATAGACAGTAATTTTGGTGTCACCACCTCTGACAGCGTCACCCAGTGCAGTCTGTACCCACCATGTGACGTCACTTCTAAATAAAGTGAAAAGTGAGTCGTATATTCCGGGACAGATATGGGGAGGAGCCACCTGGAAGTGATGCAATGGTTGAATGTATTCTAAAGGCAGACCAACCTCGGTTCAAACTCCATCTCTGCTGTCCGCAAGCTATCTGACTTTGGAAAAGTTCCCTCACCTATAAAATGGGAATTCTGTTATTTATTGTAGGGTTGTTGTGAGAATTGAATGAGATAAGGCATGAAAGCACCTAGCCTTGTGTCGGTCACACTTTAATATTAGTTAACATTAATTAATTAAGGAAAGATAGGGATTTGAGGCCAGAATCATACCCTTTGGAAGTCTTCAGCAATCAAAGACATAGAAAGGGGTCCATACTCTACTTACCTTAGTCTGAAACAGGAGACCTAAGTTATTTTTCAAAGACTTTCAAAAAAAGCAATTGGAGAGGATGCCAGAAATGTAGTGTAAACCTATGTAGCAGTACAATGAACTTCTTGGCAAAGGGGCCAAGAAAAGAGGCAGCAGAAGGAAAATGTAGCCAACAGGGAGGAAAAAATGCTCTGCAGTCCCATGGAGAGGCACTGAGACAACCAGGGCAGCTCCGAGCTCCAGAGCCTCTTGGTGGAACGCTCGTCCATACATCTCCAGGTGGAAGCTGTGGGCTTACCGAGATTTGGCTGGGACATTGCCATGGCCCTCTGAGGCACGGGGGTGGAAGTGGCGGCAGGGTGGAGGTTCATATGATTCAGGGGCTGATTCATTGCCTTCCTCGGGTCTTGCCATGTGGTGATTTTTTCTATGTGACTAAAAGAAGGAAAACAATTATCTTTTGAATTGTGAGCATCATTATCATTATCACCATCACCAATAACAGCATAACAACAGTTAAGTGACGCTGGGATGCAGGCTCTTCCCTTAGGATCTGCTTACAAATGGCTGACAAATTGTGTTTTGTTTTCATCCAAGGACAGCTTTGACCATTTACCCCTCCATCCAAGTTGGGCACACTGGGGACTTTGATGGGCACTCTCTGAACTTAGCTGAACAAACCCAGGACTTAGCTGTCCAGGCTGCCTTTAAGAGCAGCAAGTGGGTTTTCTGCTTGAACTGGCAGATGCCCCAGCTTACATCCCCTCAGCCCTTGAGCAGCCCACACTCCCCAGCCTCTCAGGTGCTTCACAGCCGTCAATCAATGGGATGCCATGGCATGAACTCCTCTCCTGAAGCAGAACCTGTGCTCTCCTGCCCCGCCAGCCCTCCCACACACTCCTAGCTCATGTAATTGACATAATGAGGCTACCTCCACCTGTCCTCAGCCGGAAGGGGCCCTTGAAAGCATCCTAGTCAACACTTCATCACTGAGCTCTTACTAAGCATAGAGCACTGTGGGGGCCACAAAGGTAATACATAAAGCCCTCAAGAAGCTTAGCTTCTACCAAGCAAGGTCACAAGTAAGTCACATAGGAAGGTTGACAAGTGTCAGATTACAGAGAAACTTAGATGTTGAGGCATGAAGGTTTTTGAGATAGAAGATGTGGTCAGACTTTTGATCATACTCTATTTCCAATACTTTTTCGTATGACTCAATCACAGAGAAGCCAGAACAGAAGCTTCTGCTCAGGACTTCCAATACGGCCTCAGAAAAGTGGACGGAACTTCCAGCTTTGCCTACCACCTCCCAAACCATATCTCTCTCTCTCACACACACACACACACACACACACACACACACACACACACACACACACACAATGGTCAAAAATGGTAGGATTGCCTGGTGCTTTGTAGACCCAATCTAGCAACCTCTACTGTGGTGAGAGTTTACTGTATTTTTCTTTTAAAGATGAGTAGATTCATCTGGTGCCACTACTTTGTCTTATGAACGGCATCAGAGAACTTCTTATACCCATCAAAGACAACCAACTTTAGTTCCTGGGTGGCACAAATGGTTAACACTTGACTACTAGCTAAAAGATGGGCGGTTTGAATCCAAAAGGTTGGCAGTTTGAATCCACCCAGAGGCGCCTCTGAAGACAGGCCTATCGATCTGCTTCCAAAAAGTCACAGCCTTGAAAACCCTGTGGAGAGCCTCATGTGGCACCTCTACGGCAATTAACAACAGCAATTTCCTATCATAAAAGGACAACAGACTTTGATAGCAGAAACTGAACGTTATCCCTTTGTTCTGGGCAACTAGGTTTGCCTCTTCCAAACCAGTCGGCAATGTCAACCCCACACACTATTGAGCCTTCCTTCTTTAGACACACATGAAAAGAAGCATGATTGTTATTTCTGTCAAACACCTTTTAATTTCAAATGACAATGACCTCCTTTGATCTTGAATGTAGGGAACCACTCTTCTATTATTAGATTTAATCCTAGATTTTTAGACCCCCCCCCCAACTGGAATTGTATTTGTCTTGTTATCATTTGCTTCGGGTTCCCTCACATTTAAATGCTGCCACTGCTGAAATTCTCCTTCAGATTTCTTCTTCTAACTCTTGAAGTTGCCTCACACTGTTGACCATGAGGAACTCATCCATGGCCTTCAGCAAAAACTTGGATATCTTCCCTAAAAAGGTCTACAAACGAGTGTGAAGAAAGAGTCGGCCTTGTGGCTATAAAGGAGGCCGATGGAGTTTAACTGCTGAGTTTCAATACTGTAAGTACCATCAACAATCGTCTTGTCAATGAACAGGAGAGGGGAAAAAAAGGTCAAAAATGAACTGGAAGGAATAGAAAGGAAAGAACTGAGACTATCTTCAGTTTAACAATTGTAATTCTGTGTCAAGCTTCCATAAAATTCTTTTGTCAACCTCTGGGCAAGTGCGAACGCATAGCCAGTGTCAGGGGGTTTGTCACAGGCCCTGAAAGAGAGGAACCACTTGACGAGGTGGTCAGAGTTAAGCACCAGACTCCCTTTAGCAAAGTTATTAGAGCTAAGAAACGCTTCGACTATTCCTCCAGGACTGTACTATTAAAAACTGTTTTCCAAGGCGGGCATGTCCTACATAAATACTTCCCACTATGGCGACAGGAGGGAAGGAATCCGCCTCTCTTTCTTAAAGCTTTCCTAGACGCTCTGACACCACGGATATTGATGCTGTGTTGGAACCAACATCACCGTCGTTGTTAGCTGCCATCATGCTGGCCCCTAACTCATGGTGACCCCACGCACAACAGAAAGTAATGCTGCCCGGTCCTGTGCCATCCCCATGATAGGCTGGGGATCAAACCTTTGTGATCCATTGGTTTTCACTGGTTGATTTTCAGAAGTAGATCACCAGGCCTTTCTTCCTAGTCAGTCATAGTCTAGAAGCTCCGCTGAAACCTGTGCAGCATCATAGAAACATGCAAACCTCCACTGACAGACAGACGGTGGCTGCACATAAGGTGCATTGGCCGGGGATCGAACCCGGGTCTCCCACATGGAAGGTGAGAATTCTACCACTGAACCATTAGTGAGATATAAAGAACACTGCTGTAGTCAGAAGCTCAGCTACCGGTGGTAGAACTAATACAGGAGCTGGAAAGATACATCTCCAGATCTGGTTTGCCCCGTTGTCCCAGGTGGAGCTCACGACATCCCTCCCATCCTACCAAATGGGCTGTGACTTTGAATCTAGATGAGGACAGGAGCACTCGGCACAGAAAGCCTGCAATTGATGTGGCTGGATGAAGCCCAGCTTGCCTAAGGAGTGCCACGGTGACTCGGTGGCCTCTGTCCCCTGAGACTCAGTGTGGGCTTTCTGGGTGGACACTCCTGCCCTCTGCCTGGTAAGGCTGACCCTGAAGATGTACAACTCACCACATGGCTTCATGTTCCAGAACTTCCACAGGGCCGTGGGAGACTCTGCATCCCACTGTCCACACTCAACAGCCAATGCTTTTCAAGAAGCTTTGTTCCCAGCGGATTTATTAATTAAAAGTGTCAGTCACTGTATTCCCCCAAGACTCAAGTACAAGAAGTGGATGGGAGGGGGCTTTCTTAAGTGAATGGCTCTCATTGCTCCAAAACAAATCTGAGAAGAAAGGCATGCAAATTCCCAGCCTCTGAAGACCCTTCGACCCAAAATCAGCTTAGCCCTAAGACTCAGCTTCTGGGATGTCAAGGGTGGCTCTGTCTGAATGCAAAACACAAAGAAGAGAGTATGGTTCACCAGAGGCACTTCATACATTGCTGGTGGTTTGATTTAAAAACAACTCCTTTTGTTCAAATCATTTAGTGCCTTGGGCTCCCCCACTCCCCCCACCCCATTCCCAAACCCAGGATGTGCCGTTTACTCTTTCACTCTGCTGTCTCATCTCGGCTCCCTCTCTCAAAGTTACTGAGTCATTTCCTTTCTCGGATTTCTCAGTGTAACCTCATTGTTTGCCAGGGCCCACAGTTTAGCTAGATTAATCCTGCTTCCCTGCTACTCCCACCTCCTTCCTGGTTTCACTCCCTTGCTGAGAGTCTCGTGCAAGAGAAAGTCTCTCTGCAGTTTATAAAGTACAATTTCGCTTGGAAAGCTGTATATGCATATATGGATATAACAGGGGCACTGGTGGTGCAAACGGTTAAGTGCTTGTCTGCTAACCCAAATGTTGATGGTTCGAACCCACCCAGTGGCTCTGCAGGTACAAGACCTGGTGATCTGCTTCTGTAAAGATAACAGCCAAGAAAACCCTATGAGACAGTTCTACTCTGTCCTACAGGGTCGCTATGAGTTGAAATCAAATGGATGGCAACAGGTTTGATTTTTTTTTTTTCTTTTGGTTAGCAACCTATTTACAGTGATATCTGCAAGGATGGGTGGGTTTTTGTTTTTGTTTTTTTCTTATCTAAACTCTTCTGCACTTTCCAGATTTTTAGCAGCAACTACGCATTGTTTTCAGTGAAAACAAAAATACTCGTGAAGGTACAAAGAGGAAAACTGACGCATGGATATGCAGTTAGTAAAGACAAACTGCAGCCTTGCCTCTATCTTTGCGTGGCCAAAGTAGAAAGGAAAATGAAATCAATTACTTGGATCCAAGTTGTTTATAAAGAAAAAGAAGACCAGTTCCTCAGGGGAAGGAGCCAAACCAAAAAACCAAACCCGTTGCCGTCAAGTCTGACTCACAGCAACCCTACAGGACAGTAGAACTGCCCCATAGGGTTTCCAAGGAGAAGCTGGTGGATTCGAACTGCCGACCTTTTGGCTAGCAGCCAAGCTCTTAACCACTGCACCACCAGGGCTTCCAGGGGAAGGAATGAAAATTTTAAATAATCCCCGTGGAGTTCCCTGCGTGTTTGTGGTGGACAAGGTGCCTGCAACAAATGTAACGGGGGTGGACTTTTCCCCTTCCTTGGGGAGCCTCTTTGACCGCAACTTCCCAGAGGGCCCCCTTCTTTCAGTCTCAACAAGACCAAGCTGACACCTGCCTCCAACCACATCTGAGTCCCTGCTTAGAGACAGAGGTGTAACTAAGGTATAGCAGGTAAGGCGCGTGCCCTGGGGGCCGTGTGAGGGGAGGCGCTAGTGAGCGGTTTCTACCGGCCATTGCAGTTTCCATCGCCAGCTGGGAGAGATCGTTCAGCAATTTAACACCAATTGCCATAGGCGCTATTTCCCGCAGATAGGCTCTGGCTTAGAAGACTGGCCAGATCGGAAAAGAGTGACAGCTCCAGGGCTCTGGAATCTGCCAAGGTGCAAGAAAGGTGAGCACTTCTCCGAATGGGCGTTTGGCTAGTAACAGCAGCTTATGGAAAACCGTGTTGCATGAAATCGTTTTTTCCTTCTTACTCATGGATTAGGAAAAGCTCTGTGTTTGGGGGTTAA